ACGGTTGTCGTATTTCAAAACCCGAATTTCACTCGGGTTTCCATTCCATACAAATCATTTTGATGGTGGCGATAGTATTCAAGGCAAGGCGACGATAATCTCTCCATATAAGAAGGAGCTACGTGCGCCGGCGGTTCGGAATGACAAGAGGGTTGAGGGGAGGATTCCTGGAGACCGGCAAATGGTGAGAAGGTTAGGGTGGAGAAGAAGTGAAGTCTACGATTTAAAAACTGGATGTTAATTTCAGTTTATATGTAGTATTTTGAAAACTCCAAATTAAAATAAATTAAATGTGAATCAATCATGCAAACTTTCCTAATTTGGAATTCCAAATTTGGAAAGAATTCAAAATTTGAATTCTAAATTTCAAATTCACATGGGATGAGGGAGGGGAGTTGGCCGGAAGGGGAGGGGCGGCGGGAGGTGGTCGGCCGGGATGGTGGAGGTGGCCGGCGGCAAGATCCAAGGTGGGGGAGCCGGCGGCTAGGGTTTGGGGAGAGGGGATTTTGAGGAGCGTATAATGAGAGAGAGAAGGTAAACGAATAAACACAAAAAAAACTAGAGAACTCACCAAGAGATCTCAAAGGAAGAACTCACTAAGAGATCTTATCATGCACTCACAAAGAGAACAAAAGGGAGTAATTTTTATTTCATTCATCAATAATTCAAAATACAAAGACCAAGCCTTTATATAGGCTCAACAAGCATACGGAAAATAAAAGACTACAATGCCCTCGGGCAACATCAAACACTACTTCCCTCATATGGGTACAAAAGGAAAAGACAAGAAATATAAATGACATGAATAAAATAAAACATCAAAAATAAAGACTCTGAATCATGGCCGTCGATCGGCGCCTCCGGCGATGGTACACATGTCGAAATCGGATGTCCCCATCATTAAATGTCATCCATCCCGTGAAACTGCATTTTACTTGCCTGACCCTAGCTCAAATTTGCTACTCTCCATGAATTTTATCCTACCATAGTCAAAACTTTAATGTCTCAATATTTCCAAATTAGCCAAAAAAATCTCTCCTAAACAAAGTTTTTCATGCCAAACCCCATCAATTTCATCTTCCTCATGAATTATCAAAATAACACCGTCATAATTGATAATCGAATCATCTTATGGGCTCATATTATCATAATTAATCAAACTATGATTATTATGACAATCATTACAAGCACAATATACAAAAAAAAAAAACATATTATTCACAAAAATACCATGATTTCTATCATATCCATATGATGATTATTTTATGATAGTATGTATCACAAATCATGAACTTCATATTCTCATGATACTGATCACTACTACCCTTCCATTAAAGATATGGTGCAAATCTTATAATGGTTATGTACACGTTAATGCATCCCAATACCATCCATATTAGATGTATCATAGATCACATTTTGTTGATCAGATTACTTGTAAATAATATTTTAAAAAATGTTATTTTTCACCAGAATTTTGGAGAAATAGTAAGTTCCACAAATTCATGTATTCTTGTATGTTCATTATTGTCTAGAAATGAATTCAATTGATTGTGAAAGCTCACAAACACAGTGGGGTCTTACATGAACTTGAGCCCTCAAGTTCATGTTCCAAATCCCAAAATGAATAGAATCATTTGAATTCATCTTTGATACTTCCTCAAATTTAGAATGAAAAGACAAATGATGAGTAAGCCTAATCTAAACGATTGCGCACTTAATCAAATTAGTTTGCATGGGTAGATTGCATCGTTCATATCCCGAATGAATACACATTGTGGGTCTTTCGCTAGCTCATTGTTTACTTAAATTTGTGAATCTAAAAGCATGCTCGCTTAATTTCTAAATGCTTGTAAAGCAAAGGTGGTGTATTCCATGGCTTTCAAAGGTCTATGGATCATACTCCATATTTTGAAGTTACCTAAGCATGATCAGTGTGATTTGCAAGTTGAAAAATTTAAGTGCAATGATAATCAAGTTAAGCATATGATCAAACTCATAAGAATGATAATTCACATTCATACTCTTCTAGGTTTCTTTAAATCATACCAAATTTGATCTTAAAAGCTTCGTAGAAGTCGTAGGAATCAATCTTCCCTCTCCAAATTAAGTCCAAAACACTCTAAAAGACATAGGAAAATTTCTTCCAAGCACGCATCTCTCTCATGCATGCTGTTTAGAGTCTCCCTAATGCTCCAAACACTTCACTGCATTAATTATGTAATCTTAGGGTCAAAATCCTAGATTCATTCCCTCATTTGTTGGAACACAAAACCAAAGAATTATCTCCTTGATTATTGCTTTCAAAGCTCACATAAAGGTTCCCAAATCACCTCTAGAGAGCCTCAAAAAACACTATCAAATTCTAAGGTCAAAACCTTTGATTCGTATGATTTGTTTTATGATGACCAAAATCAACAAACATTCATTCATCCCTCTTGTGCATGAATAATTTGTAGCATCTCAACACTCCAAACACTTGATTGCATGAGTTTTGGTACAGATTGAGAGTTCTCTTTCAATGCACTTCTCTTCAATGTATGATATTTGGAGCTTCCCCAAGGCTCTAAATGTTCCATTACATAAATCATCAAGACTTTAGGAACAAATCTTAAGTCCCCTTTTTCATTTGTTGAAAACACAAAATTATCGAATGAACACCTTCCTCTCATGCATGATGATTTGAGGTTCCTCAAGCCTACAAACCTATGATGCACAGACACGGATACAATACAACATAGACATGAGACGCGTCAATTATTAAAAATATAGGAAACACGGGTTGGACACAATATTATAATTTTCATATTTCAAAAATAATGTATAAAAATCGAATAAGTATAATATTAAAGTTTAGAAATAATAAATCATTTAACTAGAATTTGTCCTTCAAATAATTAACATTATGATGTAGAGAGTTGGGCGTCGATGCTGTGTATCAGGCATCGATAGAGGAGACGACAATGCTGTTGAGAGTCGAGCATCCACGTTAAGCAAGAAAGTATCAGAGGCATCGATGTCAAGAGGACGTGTGTCATCAATGTTAAAACGATGTCGGACAAAGATGAGTTGTTAAGTTGTGGGTATAGAAATTGCTAGCGTTGAGCATCAATGTCAAGACAATGTCAGACTTTGATGCAAAGAAGGTTTTGAAATGTCGATATTATAATGGCATCAAACATCAATATTGAGATGACATCTGTCATTGTTGTGAAGCCAAAGTCGCAACCCGACAAAGAGAAATGAAATGAAAATATTCAATAAATGAGGTATTGAATGCGAATGATTGATTTGGTAATGTGGAAGTTTTTATATTTTAATATATTTTAAATAAATAGAATTTTAAATTACAAGATATTATATTTTAAAAAATTCATAAAGTATTTAGGACAGGTGTCGGACACGTGTCCAATTGGTATTTGATTTATTTTAATCGGATATATTTTTGGCATTTCCGACATGTGTCGAGGGCATGTCGGATCCGTGTCCTGTCAAATAAGTGCTAGATATTGCACACCTCTTTGAGGAGAAGAATCGGTGCATCATAGCTTCAAACATATCACTACATTAGTCCTTCAACCTAAGAGCCAAATCCTATGTTCATTTCATCCCTTGTTTGTTGAAGCACAAGATCAACAAACAACCATCTCTCTTTTCTTATGCATGACTTTTGGAGCCTCCTCAAGGTTCCAAATGTCATACTACATGAGTCTTTTGATAATAGAACCAAATTCTAAGATCTTCCACATCATTTGTTGGGATACAAAACTAACAAATATCCTCCATCATGCATGTTGTTTTGAAACATCCAAAAGCTTCAAATACATTATTGCATGAATCATTTGAGCTTTAAACCAAATTCTAAGTTTCTTCTACCTTATTCGTTGGAGCATAAAACCAATGAATAATCCTTCTAAAGCATAGGATTCAAATCCTAGTTTTATTCCTCCATTCATTTAAAGCAAATGTTCGAAGAGTTTCCTCCAATTAGCAACCTCGAAGTTGCATTCTAGTCACTATCTCCTACAAGCCAAGAATGTAGGAGAATATTTAAAACTTCTTTCATCCTCCTAAACCAAAATTGGAAGGGTGTACATCTTTCTTTGGACACCTCAAGGTTCAAAGAAATCCATGATGACTTGTAGCCCAAACCTACATGTCATCTCTTTGTATTTGCCAAATACAAATTGGGTAGATCATCACCTCTCTTTGATTATCAAAGTATTCAAAGAAATCCCTCCATTTGCAAACTCTAAGTTGCATTTTCTTCTCTCCTACAAACAAAATTGTAGAGAAATTTCTCTCTTTCCACAACTCAAAAGTTTTATGAAACTCCCATATTCAC